CTCCGCCCAGATGGCCCTCGAGGACGTCAACAGCCGAAGGGACATTCTGCCCGACTACGAGCTGCGCCGCGACCACCGCGGCAGCGAGGCGAGCAGAGCCCCACGCCCCACCCCCCCCCCCCGCCCCGGCGGGGGCAGGTGGGCTTCCGCAGGGGGAGGGAAGTGAGACGGCCCTTGGTTGCCGCGGGGAAGCCCCCCCCCATTGACCGGAGGGAGGGATAATCTGTTCGACTCGAAAGGGGTGGGGGAAATCAAATTGGGAGAGGAGGATGTTGTGCCTTATAGCCAAGATAGTCCTGTGTGCAGAGGGATGGTTGAGCATATTGGACAATCCTGGCACAAATCCTGCACATCCCCAGATCATGCAGGGACCCATCTGTAAATGGAGACCAAAGCGGCTTAGAAGGATGTTTTAAAAGGTGTCAGTCTACACAACTAGGGTACTCCTGGGGGAGAGGTTCATAGAAGGATGGAAAGACAAGGCAACCTTGAAAGGAGAAATGGGGAAGAGTCTTTATGGGGGGGGGGGGAGGTGAAGGTTCAACTCTTAGGGCAATATCCTTGCCAGGAAAGATCCATGAGAAGGCTAAGACATGAAGGAGAAGGAAACGGCAGGACTAGGTTAGCACCCAAGGGTTTCAAGCTATATGAGGGGTAGAAAATGTGAGCATAAGCCACAGAAGTCCCTCTTTTCTCACCCAACTTTCATCATGTTCCTTTTGGGCCAGAGCATCCCTTGGTAGGACGCTGTGCAACCCGCTCATGTCTGTGGAAGAGTTGGAGAAATGGTGAAGCTTGGGCTGTTCCAGGGAGCTTCAAGCCGAATGAGTTATGGGGAGCATAGGGGTAATACCACAGATAATGATCAGGGGATTTGGGGAAAGAATGACCTGGAAGATGGGGAGGCCGAGGGCTCCCACAGGGTGCTGTGGTCCAACATATCAGCAAGGTAAACAGATGGAGAAAGGGTAGGACTGGAGCAGTGACATTGGTGCACTGACTGGAGGCAAAGTTTGGAGAGCATGTTCAGAAATGGGGCTGATAAGAAGGGGCTGGTGCTGGAGGTGTGAGAGAAAGAGTCATATGGAGATTCCAAACACGAGAGTGACTCATATAACAGTTTG